TTGCTCTGTAGACTAGGCTGGACTCAAATTTACAGTCTACCTTCCTGGTGAGACCAAAGACATGTGCCACCACTGCCCAGCCACATACCAGTTTCTGAGTCTACAGATCTCTGCTGTTTAAACAAAAACTATCAGTAAACTTTAGTTTCCAAGAAGTTCCATCGGTTCTTGTCAATAATAATCATGATTAGGATGGTGACCCACTTCTATATTAGTAGCTCCACGGAACCTAGAAAGAACTCTTCCTTCTAATTAAGTCTGACCATTCCTAGATTTCCTTTTGAGCTGGCAACCTCAAGTGCACATAGAAGGACAATGACCAAAACTTCAGTGATGAGATAGATACTCCTGTTGCAGGCATTCTTAGTAAGCTTCAGTATTTTGCTGTGAACCCCAGACATGTCCTGAAATGAGTCTGGGGTGTTTGTGTAGCAGGGTTGAATGTTTGCAGATAAATACTGACCCTCAATAAAGATCTTCCATTTCCTGTGCATCTTGTTGCCCATTAGTGTTGGCTTCCAGTTGCAACGAGGGAAACCATGTCTAATAGCAATACTTAAATATTCAATGTTATATAGATTATTCATCACAAAGACTTGTAACAATCTTCATCTGGGAGACACAGAGTGCTTAGAATACACAGAAGCCATGGCAGAATCTTGACTTCAGTTTTGAAGGCCATGTTCTCCTAGTTGATGTTGACATAGAAGCATCCAGCTTTCCTGGGGGTGCTCTCCTGCCTTTTCTGGTAGGCAAGCCTCTGTGAGGAATATTATTTTAAGGTGTGTGACTTTTGTGTATGTTACATTTGTTTAACTCTGTGAAGTTGTGATTCTTGGCCTATCTAAAACACCTAATAAAGGTCTAATAAAGAGCTGAACCTCGAATGTGATAGGTGGGTCTGGCAGGCAGAGAATATAAATAGAAGGAGAAACGAGGAAGATAGAAGCAGCAAGAGAACAAGGAGAGGAGGACATCTGGGGCCAGCTACCCATCTACACAGCAAGCCATGAAGAAAGAAGTAAAGTGAGATAAGCAGAAGTAGAGAAAGTAGCCCATAGGCAAAAGGTAGACAAGATAATTTAACATAAGACAAGCTGGCTAGCAATGAGCCAAGCTAAGGCCAGGCATTTATAAACTAATAATGAGCCTCCATGTGTGATTTATTTGGGAGCTGGGTGGGGGGCTCCTCAAAAAAAAGGCCAAAGAGTAAAAGAGCAAAACAGTGCATAATGCCCTTGTATAATACAGAATTATAGACTTTCTGTTTTGACTGACACAGACACTTCATGGTACCACACTAAGTTCACTTTTTGTTGCCAAAAGAAGTATAGGAATGCTCTTCTGTCTTGCCAGGCCTTGTGGAGCTGGATCCTTAGCTCAGACACCTTCTCAAAACTTTCTGGGTCTGTGCTGATGTAGGCAGCCAATTAGGCATCCACAACCTGCATGCAGTAGTTTTTTTCCCACCTGTCTAGGAGGATAATCATTCTACTTCTCCATCAGCAATCAGTACACACAAATAACTTACAATAACTAGCAAATACTGTCCATGCTGTCACGCATCCTGTAAAGACGACCCGGCAACTTCCTAAACTGTGCTCTCTTATAAACACCACACAGTAGTAGGTGTTTGCCAACTAAAAGGAGATTGCAGAGTCTCTAGTGACAGTGGCTTTCAGGAGTGGCAGAGGTTGTATGGGTAGAGTTCCTTCTGGACTGTTAGGTGCCTGCCATTGGTAAGGGTGCTCTTAAACTGCTATGGCCACATGCCCAGTGTCCTGACATTGGCATGTGATCCTAAAAGATGGCCAGGAAAACAAATGTACTTCTGTATGTCATTGTATAAAGATTTCTCTGTGTCTCATTTGCAAACAGTGTGACAGCTGGGAAGTCCTGTAATGGTTAAGAAACTGTTTTATGCTCATTGCTGTGTTCTCACATGACAGAGCTGAAACTTTTAATTTCTAATTTAGGATGTTAATGATAGCAACAGCAAATTTTAAGGAGGCTTGGATAAACCATTGGCTAGCAAGCAACAGTGTTTTCTCAGTGGGGCAGGGATATAATTCTCCAGTGTCTTTGTCAACATCATATCCTGCTTGCTCATTGCATGCTGATGGTCCTTACCTCCTGGCTCTGTACAGCTGTAGCTTTAATTTGTTTTGTGGTACAGAGAAGGGTGAAGTCTGTGTATGCCTCAGGCTTCTGAGTGGGAGACATGGAAAGGCCTTGGTTTCCTGCCTGCTGTGGAAGCCTCAATACTAAGTGTCCAGCACACCTTTAGAAAATTGCTCCTGAGCAAAGGGCTCTCTTCTCCTGTTTGTTAATGTGCACCATTCCTCTCTGCTGGATAAAATTACAGGCCTGACTCTGAAGCTGTAAGGAGTCCTAGTACTGTGGCTTACATGTTTTCTGTAAAATGACTTTGTTTATGTGTATGTTTCTCAAACCTCTTCCCTTTTCTTTCAAAAATAAAAGCAAACTGTTGTGCTTCAAAAACATAATGAGAAGGTTTTTGTTACAGAGAAATTTGGCTAATTATTTTTTCTTCCTAATTTTCTTAGAAATCCTAAGTAATGCACTGAAGAGAGGAGAGATCATTGCAAAGCAGGGAGGAGGTAGGAATCACTTAGTTTGATGTTCTGTGTTTCGCTGTTGTTATTATAACAGGCATTTAATGGAGATTCAACAGTAGTGTGACAAGCATGGGCTGTGGCACAGGCTACCTAGGGTGGGAACAGTCATTGCCTTTGTGTGGCTTGTGGCAAATGACTTCACCTGTTTGTAGTACTCACCTGTAAAATGGGGAAAGGGAATAATAGGTACCATCTCAGATGGGTTGTAAAAATTCCTAAAACTGAAAAGTGCACCAAATACATGACAAATGCTTTTGAAATAGTGTATGTGTTCATTAGAAAGACTCCAGGAATGGATATCTATAGGCCCAGTGTCCATTGATGAGTACTGCAAACATGGTATATATTCTTCCATGATCGTTTTATGAGCACTTAGAATTAAATGTACTGTTTAAAAAAAAGGATTTTTGAGAGAGAATGGATGCACGTGTGTGCGTGCGTGTGTGCGTGTAGATAGAAATGTGCGACACCAGAGGCAGAAGATCCCTTGGGAGCTGGAACTAAGAATTAATTAGTATTTTTAATGTCAATGCTGGCTGAAACGTCTTCAGTTTTTTTTTGTTTGTTTGTTTGTTTTTTGTTTTGTTTTTTTGCTTTTTTCCGAATTTCTGTGAAACTTTGGCCCAAACCAGGAAGTTCCAGCATATAGGCAGGTAGTTGGCAAGACTCACATAGGACATACACAGTGTAGGTAGCTTTGAGCTGTGTGATGTGGAAGCTGGGAACTGAATGAACTCTGTGCCAGCTCTCCAGCCCTAACTGTACCTTTTAAACCCCAGTTCTTTTTCCTTCAGCCTTCACATTTGGCCTTCCTTTGGCAGCCCACTTGCCAGGCATTTCTGTGGGGCTTTGCTAAGCTCTCTCTTGGTTCTGTTGCTGTTGGCATGGGGCTGCCAGCATCATTGTTACACTGTTAAGCCAGAACCTCTTACAAATGGGAAGAAGTTACTTTCTGAGCAATTTCTGTTCTGAAACTAACATTCTTAAAGTTATGCTTGTTTATTGTCAACCAGTATGCTGCATTTCAACCACAGAAGTGGGCAGAGAGAGGTGAATTGACTTGTGCCGGGTCATACAACTTTGGCTAGTTACATACTATTATAAAAATTGCTGATTGTTCTCATGTTGAATGTGTACCTTGGGTCAGTCAGTAGTAGGCTAGCCATGGGCTAGACTGCTGTATTGAGAGATGGGCACTGTGCAACTTCAGTTTTGAGCTCTGCATTGAAGTGGTGAGTCATGGCCTTGGTGATTGAGCCAGACTGCCCCTGTCCAGGGTTGCAAGCACCATGGATGAGGGTCATTGTGCACTTGTCACTGACCCTTAGCCTCTTTGAGAATTGACCCTGCCATGTAGTCAGCATCTTTCTTCCAAAGCCAGTGAAATAAATATACTCAAGCTGTCAGTTTCCCTCACAGAAGGAAAATGGCCAGTTTGTATACATGTATACCCTGAGGATCTATATAGACCTTTTGATTTTTTTTTTATCTTCTGCTTACATGGATGTGTAATCACTTTTGTGCCCTGGAAGTGCTAAGGAAATGCAGCCAGACTGCCTGTCAGCAGGGCATCCAGTTGAGATAGGATAAAGGTTGTAAGTGACTTTGAATTGTCTCCATGTAACTCTTACCAGTTACCCTGAGTTACTGAGTATGAAGTTTTCCGTGCTTCTTTGAGATCAGTTCTCAATGTCTACTGATGAGGAAACTACAAAGTTTTCAGGAATTGATGTGTGACTCATAGGTACCAACATGGAGGTGAAGTTTTTGGGGTTTTGATGGGTGGGGTTTTTTTGGTTTTTGGTTTTGAGAGAGGGTTTTCTTTGATGTATCCCTGGCTGTCCTGGAACTCAGTTTGTAGACCAGGTTGGCCTCAAAGGTCGCAGAGATCTGTGTGCCTTTGCCTCCCAAGTGCTGCTGTTAAAGGCGTGCACTACCATCACCCAGTGAAGGTGAATTTTTATTCCTTAAGTTTTATTGTAAAATTTTTACCTGTGTGATGTAGTGGAAAGAATGATTGTGGAGATCTTGTTGCTAGAGTTGCATTTTCTTTTTCTTTTGTTTTTTTTTTTTGAGACAGTTCTCTATGTAGCTTTTGGAGCCTATCCTGGCACTCACTCTGTAGACCAGGCTGGCCTTGAACTCACAGAGATCCGCCTGCCTCTGCCTCCCGAGTTCTGGGATTAAAGGCGTGCGCCACCAACGCCCCGCCTTGTTGAGTTTTCTTAATAGTACATTTCTTTAAGCATGACTTCCTGATTTGTGGTTGAACTTGGAATCTGATTCAGCCAGGCATGCATTGCTATATTAATACCTACACAAGTCCCTGACTTCCACTTGTGCTTTTTATTCCTGTTTCAGGTGGAGCTGGAGGCAGTGTCCCAGGGATCGAGAGGATGGGCCCTGGCATTGACCGCATTGGCGGTGCTGGCATGGAGCGCATGGGCGCAGGCCTAGGCCATGGCATGGATCGAGTGGGCTCTGAGATTGAGCGTATGGGCCTGGTCATGGACCGCATGGGCTCAGTAGAGCGCATGGGCTCTGGCATCGACCACATGGGCCCAATAGGTCTTGACCACATGGCCTCCAGTATTGAGCGCATGGGCCAGACCATGGAGCGCATTGGCTCTGGCGTGGAGCGCATGGGTGCCGGCATGGGCTTCGGCCTGGAGCGCATGGCCGCGCCCATTGACCGAGTGGGCCAAACCATTGAGCGCATGGGCTCTGGTGTAGAGCGTATGGGCCCTGCCATTGAGCGTATGGGCCTGAGCATGGATCGCATGGTGCCCACAGGCATGGGGGCCGGCCTGGAGCGCATGGGCCCTGTGATGGATCGTATGGCCACTGGCCTGGAGCGCATGGGCGCCAACAACCTGGAGCGCATGGGCCTGGAGCGCATGGGAGCCAACAGTCTGGAGCGCATGGGCCTGGAGCGAATGGGCGCCAACAGTCTGGAGCGTATGGGCCCGGCCATGGGCCCAGCATTGGGCGCTGGCATTGAGCGAATGGGCCTGGCCATGGGTAGCGCTGGAGGTGCTAGCTTTGACAGAGCCATTGAGATGGAGCGGGGCAACTTTGGAGGAAGCTTCGCAGGTTCCTTTGGCGGAGCTGGAGGCCATGCACCTGGAGTAGCCAGGAAGGCCTGCCAGATATTTGTGAGAAATGTAAGTGGTTCTTCGGAAGCTCATCAGCATTGTTGTGAATTCGGTAGTGGGGAGTCAGTGAACTGAGTGATATAGACCAGAGGGAAGTCTGCAGAAGGGAGAGCTGGGCAGCATGGGGAGTACAATATGCCCATCCCCAAAACTGGGATGAAGGTTGAAGGTTTACAGGAAGAAATAGTCCCAGGCCTAGGCATGGTGGCCCATTCCTTTAATCCCTGCACTCTGGAAGTAAAGGGTAGGTGAGATCCATGCTAACAAGAGCTACCAAGTGAGACCTTGTCTCAAATACAAAGAAACAAAAATACAGTAGTCTGCCATTTGCCTGTGATGTGCAGGGCAATAGAGTAGACTGAGCTATGGATGTCTGTGGTTTCTGATTCCCTTGGCTTGAGGACCACTTCTGTCTTGGCACAGTGATTCAGAGAAAGATGGTTGTGATAGAATTACATTTCATCACAGAATTGTGGGTTGCCCACTCAGCTCTTAAGACATCCCCAAAAGCTAGAGACTTATTTTGTCCCTGATTGTCATAAAGAGGGCAGCCTGTCTCTGATGAGAAGTAGAGTCTTTTTGGATTTGTGGAGACTACTAGGGATTAAATCTAGGGCTGTACACATACTGGGCAAATCACCCTACATCTAAGCTACACGCTCAGCCCAAGAAAGCCTTCAAGTCATATTCTTGTATCTATTGTGATGTCTTTACATTGAGACTTGGTTGCATCACAGATCAGTCTTCCTCTTTTTTCCTCAGCTCCCATTTGATTTTACATGGAAGATGCTAAAGGACAAATTCAACGAATGTGGTAAGTGTCTGAGAAAGGCTCTCTGTGTACATTCCTGTGTCGTGGCTTGTTGATGACGCTGTTGAGTTAGAGCAGTGAAGCTTCTTTCCTAGCCTTAACCACTGTCCATGGGCTCTAGAGCACCGATGGGCCTTGCCATTGTTCTGCCTCTGCAGGTACTCAGGCAGGTGTTGGGTGTCCAGGTATGTGTCGTGCTATGTGCTGCTTTCATCCTTGCTGTTCTTTTTTAGTTTTTTGAGACAGTCTCTCTGTCTCTGTTATAACCTAAGCTGGATTTGAGTTCATGATTCTTTTGCTACCTTCCATGTTTTGGAACGCCAGGCAAATGCCACCGTTCCTGTTTTCTGAAGTGTTTCTGAGAGGAGACAATGTTGTCGTCTCTTTACATAAGAGTTAGCAAAGCCACCTTCCTAAATAAGAGGCAAAAACAAAAGAAATAAATGAGACAAGTTGCTTTTCCACATGAAGCCCATACCTGGTTTGGTTTCCCAGAGCACTCATATGCTCAGCAGTTGTAGGTCTGGGCACACATAGTGGGGTGAAAATCACTGATTGTGGATTCATAGGCACACTAGGCAGCCTTTCTGGAAAGCTTCCTTGGTGACCGAGATGCAGTTGTCACCTGCTACCATTTCACCAAAATCTGGGTGGCTGCTCGATCAAAACACCTGTTTCGTCATTCAGAAATGGCTCACATTTTAGTGTTTTTGGTGCTTTCCCCTGGTTCTTTGAGGCAAGCTGTAGAGTGAAAACCCATCTTCTTGCCTGGTTCTTTGATTCTCTCCATTGCAAATTTCACACCAGTCACTATTGTAACTAGATATTCCAAAAACTCATATTAGAACATGCCACTCTCCCCACCTATGTGAAAATGCAAACTCAAAAGCTTCTGGAAACTTGGTTCCATCTCCCTACTGCCCTTGAACCTGTGACATTCTCTGCTTTCCTGCCAAATTACCTTCCCCTTTCCCTTCTCTTTTTCTTTTTGAGATAAGATCCAGCTAGCTCCATTTTGCTGCACATTCATTGTATAGCCAAGGATTATCTTGAACTCTTAGGGATTTTTTTGTTGTGGGTGGTGGTTTGTTTGTTGGATTTTCTTTTTTCTTTTTTTCTTTTTTTCTTTTTTTTTGAGATGGGGTCTCAGACTGGCCCTTAAACTCACTATTATATAACTGAAAATAACCTTGAACTTTTAGTCCTTTTTCTAACTCCTGAATGCTGGGATTACAGAGGTGTGCTACCATGCCTGGTTTGTAAAGTGCTGGGCTCAAACCCAGGGTTTTGTGTATGCTGGGCAAGCACTGTATCCACTGAGCTATATCCTCAGTGACACTGAACTCTTGATTTCCTATCTTCACCTCCCAAGGGCTGGGATTACAGGTGAGCCATCTTTCCATTCTCCTGTCTGTTGTCCCTCCTTTGGTTCTGTCTTGTCATTCCCTTCTTTTGAGCCTGGGTCTTGCCATGTAGCTCCAGTCTGGCCTAAAACTTGAAATCTTGCTTTAGCCTCCCAAGTGCTGGGTTGCAGATGTGTACCATTGCGTCCTGCTCTGGCAGGAATGTTTATTCTGATGAATTGCTACTTAATATCTTTCAGAATTTTATCACCAGAAGCCACTGGAGTGTCATCTCTCCCCAAGCCATTAGTAGCACAGAATTATGGGACCTGACACCACTAATGTGTCTTTGGCTCTCACTCTATTATAGACCCATTTCTTTTGTACTTGACACATACCTGGGTACTTAATAACGTGGGTGCTTAATAGGTCTATGAATGGGATATATGTAAGCTGCTCACTAAGTATACCTGGCTTACATTGGGGCAGTATAGAAGTATCATATTGGCAGTGACCTTGTGACCAGATTGTGGTATTCAACAATCAAGCCTCTAGAATTCTAATCTAAAGTTGACTCCACATAGTCCCCTCTCTGTGTCACTTGCTGGAGCATAAAGGCAAACTCTTGAAGCTGCTTGGCAGGTTCTTGACAGCAGGTCAGGCTGTTGTCCTGCTTGGAGAACAATGGCAATATAGTGGGGGGGGGCTGTAGTTGCTGGCGCCATACGTGGTGTTCTGAGCATTCACTTCATATGCAAGGGCCTCTCTCCTTTTTGACTCTGTCACCGAAATCCAACAGGTGATCTGGACTGAGTGGAGCCCAGGCTGAGGCTGAGCTCTGGGTTTGCCTGATGCGTGTGGTCTCTTCTTCCCTCCCTGTGCCAGGCCACGTGCTGTACGCCGACATCAAGATGGAGAACGGAAAGTCCAAGGGGTGCGGTGTGGTTAAATTTGAGTCTCCAGAGGTGGCTGAGAGAGCCTGCCGGATGATGAATGGCATGAAGCTGAGTGGCCGAGAGATTGATGTTCGAATCGATAGAAATGCTTAAGCAGTTGCCTTTTTTAAACATCAATACCAGACCTCTGAATTTGTATTTTTTCTTGTTAACCATTTTAATTTGTTGGCTGGATGTATAAAGATGTTTAAAAAATTCAGTTGCTTTTTGGGGTAATTTGAATTAATTTTTTAATGAGTGGGGTTCCATTTGATTGTTTGCATTGAGATTGCAATGTGCGCAATTTTTTTTGTAGTTGTGGCATCTTGTTGACATCGAATATGACTTTGATAATAAATACCAGTTGCTGAAAGTTGCTTGCTTTTTTTGCGTATGTTGTAGAGGTGGCCATCTGAGGTCTGTGGAGCTGGGGAAGCTTGTAATTCTTCCTTCCTCAGAGCTGTGACCTCCAGGGATCTCACCCTATTGTTGCTTGTCTGTGAGCCCCAGTGTTTGGAGAGCAGACCCTGGTTATAGTAGAAACACTATAGTACAGATCCTAAATCTTCATTTTTCCCAAGAGTGCTAATAGCAATCCTGAAAGTCATCCTGTGGCTATATTCTGTGAGTCCCAGACACTGAGCAAAGCTCACTTCATGTGGCTTTTCTTTGTTTAAGCCCCCTGAGAATATCACTGTATGGGACATGCTTCATACTGATGTCCTGTTGGGCAGGAACCCTACCAATGAAGGGCTGTCATAGACTCACTTGGCAATACAAATCCTTGCAGCCTACAAGGAGTTTTGGGATGCAGTTCCTGATCATCCAGGGTGTGTGTGGGTGCATCCTTAGTAGCTCCTTTCCTATTGAGCAAGCAACTGATTTTCCTATCTCTTTACTTTGGTACCTAGCATGTGCCTGTGTTCTATTGTGTGTGCCAGGAAAGAGAGGAAAAGACAAGAAGCAAGGATGTTTTAAAAAGGGGTTTTATGTGAGCAAGTGCACTTGGGCGTATGTTTGCCAGGCTGGGATCCAGGGCTCCTGAGAGAACAGTGTGGTGGTCCTGGAATCCACCTCTTTGTCTGCCTTACTGTCCCTGAGGAAATGGTTAGGTGTCCAGAGGATCTGCAAAGGAGGATGAATTCAAGTGATCCCTACATAACATAGCATAACAAGCATCTTCATGGGAGTCACTGTACATACCCAAGAAGCTGACGTCATCATATACTTCCGTTTCCCTGGCAGAGAGCACAGTATAGTCAGTATGGGTCAACCCTGGTGTTCCCCATACCACCCAGGCAGGACCAACACTTACAACGGTAACAGTGCAGTTCTGGGTACATAGCCATCTGCAGGGGAGAGTAGATAGAGTAGATTCTCAACCCTAGAACACCTCACTCCTTTCCCTAGATGTGGGCCAAACACACTTACACTTGCCCTTGGGGTCCCGGCACAGCATCTCATCCTTGTTAGTAAACTCAATCACCTCCAGGATTTCGCCACGTCGGATGCCCAGGTGCTTGCCACCCCCACGCCGGGTCTTGGCATTGGGGTCAATCATCATCTTTGTGTGAATCACGATCTCGCCTTCAAACTTGGGGAACATCATGTTAAGACTTTGTATTTCTGCTGTTACCTTGGTTCCTTCCTCAGGGTGGAAGTCCGGGGTGCCTGGGTACCAGTATCTCCCAGCATTCTTTGTTCCATGTTCTCACCTTGAACTTCTTTCTAAACTCTCTCTCAGCTTTCTCTGCCTTCCTGATCTGTTTCAGCAGCTTGGGGTCTGTGGGTAGTGGCTGCTGGGGCTGACTGGCATTCTTCCTGGAAGACCCAGACATTGGGGTATTATTTATGAGTAAGAAGTGTCCTCTATCAGAGTCCCAGAGCTCAGCCCAGCACCATAACACCCCAAGTGCCCCATGTACCTGAGCTCTGTGTCCTGCAGAGGCAATCTGGTAGTTCGCTGGGTAGACTGCACTTCATCTGAGGACATTGGACAGAGTCAGGACAAAGGCTTGATGGGTGAACCTGCTCTGTAGGTACTTGGACCTTCCCTGAATCTCAACCACTTTTCTCCTATACCTTTCTCTCAGGGTTCATCAGTTCTTGTGAATAAGGTTCATTTCGGTGAGGAAAGTACAGGATGGGAAGTTGGTCAACTGTACAAGGCTACCCAGCTAGTGAAATTGTAAAGATGGGATGGATTTGTAGGCCTTGGTTTTTGGTCTCATTGTATAGACCAGGCTGGCCTGAAACTCAGATCTATCTATCCCTGAGTGTTAGGGTTAAAGCTGTGGTCACTATGACCAGCCCACAAGCTGTAGACTTTGGGAACCATTTTGCTTGCCTCCCAGAATATGTTGGGAGTTGTAGTAAGACTTGGGATTCAGAGCTAAAAGCAAGCATTCCCTTATAGCATCCAGAGCTTGCCTCTAAAGAGGAGCAACCAGGGTGGGGTTCTTTGGTTGGTTGGTTTTTTGAAGAAGGGTTTTTCCATGAAGCCCTGACTGTCCTGGAATTCACTCTATAGACCAGGCTGGCACTGAACTCAGATCCACCTGCCTCTGCCTCCACAGTGCTGGGATTAAAGTCGTACCATCACCACCTGGCCATGTAGGGTTTCTTAGCCTGAACCTTCAGCTGCCAAGACTGACTGGTATGGTTTCTCAGCAGGTTGACTTGTACCACTTCCTAGCAGTAGGCCAGGCTTCCAACTGTTGCTGAGGGTGACAGCCTCTTAAAGATGCAGGTTAGTGAGGGCCTGAATCAGAAGCCCCATTTTGTTAATGACTCAAATGTCACTTTGGACCAACTGTCCTTTCTGATGAGCAGCCCACAGAGGGGTGCCTGTCATACTCTATCTGGTCTCTGCTCTCTAGGCAGAGATCTGGGTCCTACCCAGAACTTGCACTGCACCTGCTTTTCTCATGATTTGCCTCAGCCTTGAGTGCTGTCACAGCTGGAAGCAAACTTGACTGGTGACAGTACTGAGCCCTGTGGTTCTGAGATCATCCTGCAGCTTGTTCTGAACAGGCCAATGATAATCTTTCTTTCATGTTGGTCTACACACAATCCTGGAAAGACTGGACCCCACCCTCCAGGTGAGTTCCCAGCTGAAAAAAGATGTAGGGGAGCTGCCATGTTCCAAAGGAGCCCAAGGATAAGAGGGAGGAGCTGGTGGTCCCAGGCCACTCTAGTACTGTACTAGAAAGATGACTCAGAAATGCACAAAGCAGCCTTTTGAGAGGCTATGCCCACAGGAAGGCTCACCCATTGCACTGAAAGGAGAAACTCAGATGGGTCTGGTATTTGATCATGCTTGAAGAATTGTGGGTAAAGATAGAGAGGTGGTTACTGAAGCAGTGTATGGGGGTGGTGGGAAATGGTCTATTAAATTCTAAAGGTTCTAACCCTAGCAACTGGCCAGAGCTCTGACCAGGCTCTCAGCAAAGCTTACAACCCCCCACTCCCCAAACCATAGAGCATCCCTTCAACAGAAGCACTAGGGGCCCTCTTGGAATAGACCAGGAGAAGCAAACAAAAGGCCCAGAAAGGAGCAAAGGTTGGAGAATTTGAAGGCATCTAGCTTTGTACCAGGACCTCCAGCTGGGAGCAAGCATATCCCAAAGCTAAAAGTCCCTCCTAGGAACCCTAGTAAGACAGGGAATAGCTAGGAGAGGAAGGGCTCAGTTGGAATCACCACAGCTCTAGACTGGCTGGGCCCAGTCTCAGATCCTTAAACTTCCTTGTTGGTAATGGGGTAACTGTCTTGGCTGCCGCTGCAGAATCATCAAAGCTCTTTCATGTTGTTATGGAGACACCAGTCCTGGAGCCCCTCAGGAAATTGACTTAGAAGACAGGAAAAGAACCTTCTGCTGCACTGCCTCCAGCCCACACCTCTCTCCTGATTCCAGGCGTACATCTTCTTGGGACATCTTCGTGGGATGGGCTGAAAGGAACCTGGTGGGTGGGGGTTGCTTTGGTTTTGTTTGCAAGGTCTCATGTGGTCCAGGCCGGTCTTGATTGCTGAGTAGCCAAAGCTGATGATCCTGCCTCCCAAATGCTAGAGTTACAGTATTATAATTAACCTTGCCCAGCTTTGGAACCTGATGCCATGCCACAATCTGACTCGTTCCCTGCTTGATATGCCACCTAGTCTGGTTTGCCCTTTTTGATTTCTGCAAAGCAGAAGGACAGTCCTTCTATTGCTGTCCAGGCCTTTTGTCACCTCACTTAACAATACTTATGCCTATTGTCAGCCTGGCTGGTTGGGTGTCTGGGCTTCCCCTTTCTCACTATCTGGCCCACCTGGATCCAGTCTGGTCTGGGTCACTTTGTTGTCTTAAACCTGGATCTTGAGAGAATGCCTTTGCAACTAATATTGAATGGGTGCCCAAGCCAACCACCTAGACCATTTATAAACCTCTGCCTCTGGGGCTGAGACTAGAGTCACCTGTGGCCTCCACAGCATCATAGAGCTCATAGATCTCGTCCGGGTTCCTGCAGGGATACCTGAGATGAGGGCCTCCTTTAGCCTTGCACCCATGCCTGGCCCCTTTCTCCCCACACTCACTGTGAGATATGTTGAAGTTGTTGGGCTGGGAAGTGGGTCCCAGAAGAGCCGCTCTTCAGTACAGCTGTGGAGGAGAGAACATGGGAGGGAAGTGGCTTTGCCCAGATATTTTACCCTCCTCTGCCTGAACCACTTACCCTAACTCACCTGTAGCTGTTGCTGAGGCTCTCCGGAAGCTTTGGATATTGATGGGGACGGGTGGTAATGGGGGCTTGGCTGGGGGGGATCCCAAGCTGCTGACTGAAGGCAGAGGTCGCCTCCGGGGCGGGTGCCGAATTTGGAAGTCTTCTGATCTCCAGCCGGGTGTCCCAGGGACTCCATACCCAGGGCTGAGGGAGAACTGGGGGCTGGAGCTGGCAAAGGCAGAGGGCAGGGAGCACTCGGATACTGAACCTGGAAGCTTGGGCTTTCTGGGCAGAGCCTTGGCAAAGTCAGGCTGCAGAGACTTCCTGGGGAGCAAGCCGAACTCAGGCTCCGAGGATGTTCTAGGGAGATGACCCAGTTCTGGCTGCGAGGGCTTCTTAGAGAGGGCTTGGAGGTCTGGCTGCTGAGGCTTCTTGGGAACTCTGTGGACTTCGGGCTCCGAAGATGTCCTGGTAAGGTCACTTACCTGGAGCTGTGGATGCTTCTTGGGAAATACATGGAAGTCTGGCTTCGGGGAGTGAGATGGGGGGTTACATGACTCAGGCTTCCAAGGTGGTGTCTGGGGGACCTCATAGGACATGGACTGCTGTGGAGACTTTGGGCAACCAATGGCCTGAGGATATGGAATCTTATCACTGAATTCAGACTGCAGGGACTTCTTGGGAAAGTTGCTGACATCAGGCTGTGGGGAGCGAGGGTAAAACTCACTGGACCCAGGCTTGGAGAGGGATGTCTGAGGAATTTCACTGGGTTCTGACTGTGTCAGGGACTTCCTAGAGAAACCAGCAGCCTGAGGCTGCAGTGACTTTTTGGGAAAAGTACTGGACTCAGGTGGCAAGGGCTTCAGAGGGGCCTCACTGGACTCTTGCTGCCAGAACTTTTTGGGGACTGTGATAGGTTTGAGCTCTACTGGGGGCTTGGCAGGATTGCTGAACTCAGGCTTCCGGGGCTTCTGGGCAGGTACAATAGGCTCCTGAGGTGCCTCAAGCGGTGGAGACTTCTTGGTGAGCTCACCAAACTCATGTTTGGGAAGCATCTTGGGGAGATTAATGAACTCAGGCTGTGGGGCCTTGGGGGGGCTGGCAAATTGGGGCTCTGGAGGCTTCTTGGAAGCTGTGAACTGCGTCTGTGAGGGCTTTTTGAGACCAGTGAACTCCAGATGTAGAGGCTTTCTTGGGAGATCTTTGAGCTCGGACTGTAGGGACTTCTTGGGTAGCTCAGTGAACTCAGGCTGCGGTGACTTTCTGAGAACCTCTGACTGCGAGGGCTTCTTGGGGAGTTCTGCAAACTGCATCTGCAGGGGTTTCAAGGACACTATCCCAAACTCAGTCTGTGAGGCCTTCTTGGGCTGCTCACTTAATTCAGTCTGTGGAAACTTCTTTAGGAGTTTGTTGAACTCAGGCTTTGGGGGTTTTCTGGATGGTTCTCCAGGTTCTTGCTGAGAGGCCTGGAACTTAGCTTGGAGGTTTCGGAAGTCCTGATTGCTTCCCTGGGAAGGCATAGCTCATTCAGAAAGTCTCATATGAGAAGGCAGATGGAGAAACAACTAGGTACCTACAGGTAGTTGGTCATAGACACAAACCCATCACCCCTTCCCTTCAGCTCGAATTCTACCATTGCTTCTCCCCCAACCACAGCACTACCTCAGCCAGCTTCTCTTTTTTGGTAAGAACTGTTCCTGGAAGCCACACCCTCCTGACTCCTCCAAGTTGAGTCTAACCTCATCTCTAACTGGACCTAGCTCCCGATGCCCCTCTACTAGCCCACAGCCCCCACGTGGTACTTACAGTCAGTGATGCCTTCCCAGCATCTTCTTCAACCTTTGGGCCTTCTGCTCCCTGTTGGTTCCCTCTTTGTCCCCTGCCTGGCCACCAGGTTCTCCCCAGTTCTTTTTGTTCCAATTTCAAAATACATCCGGAATTCAGCCACTACTCACTGTCGCCTCAGTTGGAGGAACTGCCCCCCACAGCCCAGAGTACTGTTGTAATGTGCTCCTCCCAGGTCTGCTGCCCTAGAGGAGGCCTGCTAAATCTCCAGTTCCCAATCTCTCAGTGAGTTTTCATGTCTCCCGGGAAAGCAAACAGTCCCTGAATGACTCAGCAACATCCCTCCCCATCTCATAGCCTCTGTCCTGTTCTCTTTGTATCTCCCATCACTAATCAAATTTCTTATATTGGTTCTGCTGTATATGAGGCAGGCTCTCATATATCCCAGGCTGGCCTCAAATTTGCTATGTACCTAAGGATAATGAACTCCTGATCCCCCTGGCTCTACCTCCCATGTGCTGGGATTACAGGTGTGTGCCACCATGCCTCGTTTGACTAAACTGTTAAAATTTTATGGGGGGGGGGCAGTTTAAGAGCACGGTCTGTTCTTCCGAGTACCTGGGTTCAAATCCCAGCACCCACATGGCAGCTCACAACTGCCTTTATCTTCAAGATCAGACACCCTCACACAGACATACATGCAGGCAAGACACTGATGCACATAAAATAATAAAAACAAATTAAAAAAATTTTGTTTGGGAAAGGCTAGAGAGATTGTTCAGTAGGCAAAGTACTTGGCATATGAGCCTGAGTGTCTTGAGTTCTATCAGTACAGAGCAGCACCTATAATCCTACCTCTGGAGAGGCCCAGAGAGAAGGACCTCTAGGGCTTGCTGGCCAGCTAGGATAGCTAAGTCAACAAGCTCCAGGTGCAGTTGGAGACCTTGTCTCAAAAAAGAAGGTAGTGCGCCTTCAAGGAAGACCCAGCCTTCACACACATGCACACATGGCTGTCTACTTTAGCCCCTCTAGCCCATCAGTGACTTCCCAGTGCCTGGCACATAATAGGTACTCAGTGAAAATTTTACAGCAATAAAATACATGCAGGACTACAAAGACAGGCACACAATTCAGTCTAAGATGGTGGTATACACTGGGTGGGACAACACCCCATGAGAACCATCAGGCAGTCTCTCCACTTGAGCACATACACCATATGACATGCTCATAACTTCCAGTGCTCTCAAAGCTGGCCATTTGCCATGGGTTACAGATATAGGTAGATACACAAGACAAGGCCTTTTCTGAGGACTCTCCCAGCCTGCCTTCACCTAAGGTCAAGAAGATTGGGGGGGGGAGAACCTTGTGATGAAGGAATTCAGAAGCACCCCTGGAAGGAAGCAATTCTTGCCTAGAGTCAGATGCCTTTATTGAAGTCCTAGTCAGTGAGTTGAGGCAACAACTCCAAATGAACACAGGGATAGATAAGGAAGGGTTAGCAAAGCAAAGCTTGGATGACTGGCTGGGGCTGGGAGGCTGGGGCCCCAGGTGCACGACCCACTTAATTACCGCACAGGAAGCCTCTGCTCTCATCCCAGATGCTGACCTGGGGTGAGGGGATATCATTCTAGGCAGCCCAACCTGCTCCTCTTACAGTCACAGATCCAAGCTGGTCCACAAGAGCTCAAGCTATGCTTTGGCTGTTCTCTGTCTTTGTCTGCACCATTTCATTCCCAAGACTGTTCCCAATTCTGTTCTGTCAAGCTACCCATGGGGGCATATCTACCAGTTCCCCAGTTTTCGCCTGTGCCCCTTGTTTCCTGGCCAGAATGGACTTCCACTGGGGGATTGGGGACTAACTCACCATAGCTTCAGCGGGTGATGGGCCACAGGATGAGTGGGCTCTGAGCTTAGGCTGCTGCTTGAAGGAAGTATCTGTGGTTTTCTGTTCCACAGACTGACACACCAAGTAGGGGCTGTCAGGGTGGGGAGGGCAGGAGGAAGGAGGCGGAAATGGCCTGTCACCCCCCTCCCCTTGAGTTCCTGCCTGCCTACTATTGTTCGCTAGCTCATGTCAACAGACCTAAGCACATCTCTTAATACACACAGTAACTGTCACTAGCCTCTTGTCCCCTATTGTCCCCTTTACTCTTAACACTATGGGGTCTTGATGGGCTTTGTCTCCAAAGAAGCAGGCCAAGCCCAAACTCAGGACAACTACAGGAACAGAGCACATGAGTGTGGATGTTACAGTTTGCTCTGGGGCTTAGGAAGTTTCTGTCAAGAGTTAGAGCTAGGATATGGCTGGTGCAATGGTGAGGACATAACTATCCTCCTGTGTTGCTTCATCTCCCTTGTTTCAACATGTGTACTCTCAATAGGACTTCCCTGTTAAGGTAACAAATGCCCCCCACTAGCCCAGCGAGATGGTCACCCAAAGCATAAGGCTCAACTGGGATAGCAGATTTGGGGTGTGGGGGTGTTAAAGACTTGCCACTGAGGCGAGGGAATATCATTGCCCCTGGGGAGGCAGGGGGTTTTAAGGATACCTCAAGTTCCCAGTAGTTAAAGGAAGTAGAGAGGGGAGAAATCCGAAGACTAGGTTGCGGAAGAATGGAAATGGCCCTTGAGAGTCCAAAGAGGGACCAAAGTAGACACAGGTAAAAGAGAGCCCTGAAGGCAAGAGTCAGTCCACAGGAACAAAACACTCAACAGATGACAGAGATGGTTCTGTTTGGAAACAGAATAGAATCTCTTGAGCTGTTAACAGGAGGCTGACTTCACCAGTCTGGGGTGTGGTCTGAGCAGGAGGATTATTTGGATTGTGGCAGGGTGGCTCCAGTGCACAGGTGAGTATGGGTTGCTATCCTTGGAGTCACACTGTTACACAAAAAAGCACATGTTCTAAGCTCCTGGAGTAGTGGTGCATTCTTGTAATCCCAGCAGAGATAGTGGGTTCACTACAAATCCAAGGCTAATCTAGAGAGTTTCTGGCCAGCCAAAGCTACATAGACCCTGATTCAGAAAATTAAAGAAACTGGCCCCCAAAAGTATATGTTCTAGCTAGGTGTGGTGGCACACATCTGTGATCCCAGTACTTTGGAGACTGAGAGCAAGAGGACCTTAAGTGCATGGCCAGCCTCAGGCTACAAAGTTGAGACCTTGTCAGCAGGGCACTGTGACCTTGGGAGGGCCGCTCTGATCTATATAACAGACTCCGGGGCAGCCAGGCTACATAGTGAGACTCTGTCTCGAAAAATAAAGTTGAGACCCTTTTGAAGCAAAATAGCCTAAAATAAATCTGAGGTTTTAATTCTCTTGGTAGAGTACTTGTATAGCATGCACAAAGCCTTGAGTTTGATTTTCAGAACCACAAAAAACAGCACTTAGGGGCACACGACTTTAATCCCAGCACTTGAGTGGCAGAGGCAGGTGGATCTCTGAGTTTGAGGCCAGCCTGATCTACAAAGTGAGTGGACCCAGGACAGCCAGAGCCACGTAGACCCAGTCTCAAAAAGCAACATACACAAAAAAACAGCACTTGGGAGGTAAAGACAGGAGCACCAGAAAGCCCATCCTGGTTTACACAGTGAGTACCAGTCTAGCAAGAGACACATAGTGAAACCGAGTCTTAAAAACAAAATAAATGAGCCAGGGGGTGGTGGCCCATGCCTTTAATTCCAGCACTCAGAAGGCAGAGGCAGGCAGATCTCTGTGAGCGAGGCCAGCCTGGTCTCCAGATCGAGTGCCAGGATAGGCTCCAAAGCCACACAGAAAAACCCTGTCTCGAAAAACAAAAAAAACAAAAACCACGAAATAAATGCATGAATGCATGTTTTGGCTTCGGTGACAAGTTGGTTATTGGGTAGTGTGAGACTGACGGAGTAGCAAGAACATGTGTAATTCTTGGGAATGAACCAGGTGAGGTTTCATTTTATTTATTTAAGCAATGCTTAGGCAGGGAGACTGCCTCCTCTATTTTAGTACACAACATCAAGAATCTGATGTATCTGAATTTTCACATTGGGTCATAGTTCCCAGAGATTGATCTGCTTTTTTAGGAGTCCTAGGTGGACAGGGAAAACCAAGTCTGGGTTTGTGAGTTTCCAGGGGAAAGATGAGTGGAGTCAGAAGCAAGGATATGAAAGAAGCCACACCTATAACCCGAGCTGTTGCGGAGGGGGAGGGAGGGGG